AGTGGGGTGCCACAGGGCTCCGTCCTAGGCCCGATACTTAGTTATGGGTTTGTCCATCCTTGCTTTCGTGTTTGCCGACGATGTCAAATTAGTTAACTCAGGCTCGCGAGACCAAATGCAGGAAGACCTAACAAAGGTTATCCTTTGGACTCAGATGTGGGACCTAGACCTAAATCCGTCAAAGTGTCACATATTGAACACTGACGGCAGTCCAGTTAGAGTAATCACGGAGGCGGAAACCACCAAACGAACACGCGTATCCCAAACGAAGGATTTAGGGATAGTAGTCTCCGAGCATTACAAGTCAGGCAACCAATGCAAAGCTACAGCGTAAAGGGCTAGAGGTCAGCTATTCCAGTTGCGAAATACATTGAGCAATCGAAAGACAGAAGTCTTCATCTCGCTGTATAAGGCACTAGTGAGACCCCACCTAGAATACTGTGTCCAGGCCTGGGCACCCTACCTGCAGAAAGACATTCAGTGCATCGAAAAGTTTCAGAGGTTAGCCACCCAAATGGTCTCTGGCATGAGGGGCGAGCCATATGAAGAAAGGCTTTAAGCGTTAGATCTCTTCTCTATGGAAAGAAGACGCCTCAGGGGTGACCTCATAGAAACATTTAAGATAATGAAACGATTCACCACCGTAAGCGCCGAAAGTTTTTTCACCAAGGGACATAGTCTAAAGCTCTTAAAACCAAGGGCTCGCCTCGGTGTGCATCTTAATTTCTACACGAACCGAGTGGTTGACAGATGGAATCAGCCACCACCTCACGTGATGGAATGCGCGAGTACAGTGGATTTCAGGAGGCAGTTAGACAGGGTTTGGACCCAAATATACCCCGAGGTAGTAAAGAAGCAGGGTCTGAAATTGTTTAGGGTTGACATGTTATTTGTTTTCCAATTGATCTCCCTTAAAGATATCGTACCGGAACCAGCCTCCTGCCGCAAAACAGTTGCAAGACAGCGACTGAAACGGTTTTTGATGCTTCGGGAGAGGAAACCTTCCTACCGAACCAAGAATCTGAATTGACCTGACCATGACCGTGCGTGCTTCGAATTTTGGAATGGAGCGTTCCGCTGTAAAATTAGGCCGACAATAAGAGGAGGAAACACTCGGGACTCCAATTTTCTGTCGGAAAATTAGCGGAAGCGTAATTTGTACCAAGCCTTCAGCGCTGGAGATCAGAACTCTGAATCTGGGAGCCACAAATGAGCGGAACCCGGGTGGCAAGACCAACGTGACAAATTCCCGTCCAGGTGAGCGGCTAGGCTACAACATTTACTGTCGAGAGTACTACCCAGAGTTACTTTTCCTTGGTTTTTATCGTTTTTGTGTAGGGTTTTCATCTTTACCCACCCCTTTTTTACCGGACATAGTCTTGAAGCGTATCTAGACAAGTGCCATGGTAGCTCAGAGAAATCCTCCTAAAGGGACTACACGANCTGTGCCAGGATTGGTTTCACCAACGGTGCAGTAAACTAACTTCCGTGTAATTCGACCCCAATTAGGAAGATAATCGAAGGTAAACCCTGGCTAGGGATCCTGATGCCTGGGAGGGAAACCAGCCTGGAGTAGTTAACGACCGGTAATGGATTTTAGTGGGGTAGCCTAAGCGGGATGAACAACCAAGTCAGCGGCACCCCTAAGCCGAGGGGTCAAGTCCAGCCCTAGGGCACGCGTTGTCAAACCGGCAACCTCAGGGATTAGTGTACAATCCGCCGGAAACAGGAGGGGAATCAACAAAGCTACCCAGTGTCACTTGCCACCAGGGAAAGTGGCACTTGATGNTTTCCGAACTCACCACCAGCCTGAGAGACTCCCTGCATAGGCTCGAGTCCCATACCAACACAGCCCCAGGGAGAAACAGAAACGTCTTTATCAGGGGCATCCCAGAGCCGTTTTGTAGAGAAACGCGCAGCCGCAGGCAAACGCTCCTACATCAAGTTAGAAACATAATCGGACTCGCTCAGACCCCCTCAGAGGTGCAGATCAAACAAGTGTTGCGCCTTGGGAAGTGGCAGGGCGTTAAACAGGCACCTAGTGTCTTACCACCTAGGCCAACTCTTGTAGAGCTTCATAACCCGAGGAATCGGGACTTGATGCTGACAGCTTCCGCCAATGTGAGGGATTTGACCAAAGAGCAGGTAACCATAGGGCCAGACTACCCCCGCGAACATAACACAACGGCCTCACCCAGCTCACCGAGCTGCAGGCAGTAATTTAGCACCAAGCTTCTGTCCGCTCCCAGAGACGGCCCGAGGGGTGATACTTCAGGGCATGAAGACCACAATAGGGCGGCGGACCCGCAGGGAGACTCCGTCACAAGACCAGAGGTAAAAAACGTGAAGGTCACCCGGGAGCAGCCCCCGGGTGCAACTCCTCAAAAGCAATAGGAGGTAAAAGGGCGCAGGCTCTCAGTGTTTACTACACTAATGCCTGCAGCCTAATGAACAAGTGGGCCGAGCTCCGGGCTGAGGCTGACCAAACGCACTGCCTCGCCATAGCGGAGACTTGGCTTAAGTCTGATTTTTGTATCGCAGGCTTCTGTCCACCAGGATTCCAGGCTTATCGCTGCAATCGTCCAGGGGATAGGTTGGGGGTAGTGCTCTACTGCTCGAGGCAGACCTTTCCTCAGACGGCCGTGGATGCCCTGTGCACGGAGAACATTCAGGCTGCCGAGTGTGTAATCAAGCTCTCAAGAGTAAGATTAGCAGTTCTGAGTGTTTATCATAGCCCAAGCGCAGGCATCGACGAAAATGAGTTGCTGATAGATTTTCTCCGGCACACAACAACTCGGGCAAGTAGGGTTCTTGTCTTGGGGGATTTCAATGCTCCTGAGATCGAATGGGGGATGGAGTATGCACCCGTGGGCAGCTTTGGGGATGAGCTACTAGAGGTAATGCATGAATTGGCGACGCTATGGGCGCATGAAGCCCGAATGTCTCCAGGCTGCGGCTCGAACCATGGTCTGGTCAGAAGCACACTATGGGACTGTGGAGTCGTGGGATTTGATCAGGGATAACCTGCTGACTCTCACCAATAGTTTCGCACCCCTGCATCCCGTTAGGTCACGGACCACCCCGCCCTGGTGGTCCAGTCGAATGAAAAAAGCCCTTGTTAGAAAGCGGGCCGCGTGGCAACGACTCTGTGCCACAGGCGGCTATCTTAGACACCTTCAGTACCTACGAGAACGAAAGTCTTTCGACCGCATCCTCCTGGATGCCAAAAGAGCCTTTGAGCTTTCCCTGGCCAAGAAAGCAAAACGCCACCCTAAGGCCTTCTACGGGTATGTACAGTCTAAGTCGACTACAAGGGAAGCAGTCGGCTGTATCAGGCAAAAGAACAACACCCCCGCCACGACAAACTCCCAGAGNGCCGGCAGGATCCACGCTGATGGAGGATGTGGAAAAGGCCCTGGTGAGTTTAGATAAGGGAAAAGCGGCGGGACCGGACGAAATCCACCCGGCACTGCTTGGGCCTCTATGGAGTATCCTGGCTGCCCCGTTAGCTCGCCTCTTTAATCTGTCCATGGCGACAGCCACATTGCCGAAGGACTGGAAAGTAGCTAATGTGGCCCCCATCCACAAGGGAGGCAATAGGGAGCTAGCCACTAACTATAGGCCCGTTAGTTTACTCTCAGTGGTCCTAAAGGTCATGGAAAGACTATTCAGAGATAAGATGGCCAGATACCTCACCCAATGCGGCCTGCTGGCGGAGGCTCAGCACGGGTTTCGTCAAGACCGTTCGTGCCTCACAAACCTGCTAGCCTTCCTGGATGCCGCGACCGAGCGGCTGGACAGAGGGGAGGGAGTCGCAGTCTCCTATCTGGACTACAGTAAGGCTTTTGACTCCGTCAACCATCGGTTGCTGTTAGCCAAGCTAGGATCGATAGGGTTCCACCCTAGTTTAGTCAGGTGGACTGAGAGCTACCTGACAGGGAGGACCTTTCGCGTACGGGTGTAGGGGGATTAGTAAGAATGCGAGCATGCTTATAGCGGGGTCCCTCAAGGCTCGGTGTTTGGACCATTGTTATTTCTGGTCTTCATCAATGATCTAGCTCCCCGTCTGTCGAATCCGACGTTCATCTTTGCAGACGACGTTAAAATACTTGGCTCGCATCCGGATGCAGACATCCAGCTTGATCTAGATGCAGTAGAAGCATGGTCTGCAGAGTGAGGTCTCCCTTTAAATGCACCAAAGTGGAAGATCCTACTAGCAGGAATTGCTCACGGTTTTGGGCCACGCTACATGAGGACTCGCGACGGGGGTGTTATGGCAGTTGTGCCAGAGATCAGGGACCTATGGGTCACTCTGAACTCCGCTTTTAACTCCTCTGCCCAGTGTCTTGCTGCGGCACATACGGCCAATAGAGCGTTGTTCAGGTTGAAGCGCACAGTGACGTCTTGGGATCCTGTCATGCTAGTTCCGCGCTACATGGCCTTCGTTCGGCCGCATCTCGAGTACTGCGTACAAGATTGGTCCCCTACTCTGAAGAAGGGTTCTGGAAAAGGCGCAGAAGAGGTTCACGCGCATGTTCCCGCACCTTCGGGGAGCGACATATGCCGAACGCCTCCAGGGGCTGAACCTGTTCTCACTCAGTCGGAGAGGGCTGAGAGGGGGACCTAATCGAAACCTTCCGTATCGTGAAGGCTTTCTCTCAGGGAATCTCTTATCTACTTCAGCCAAGCGGTGTGCTCAACAGAAGGGGACACAGCATGAAGCTAGAAAAGCCTCGGGCGCTCAAACGCCTGTGAGCCACCTTTTTATCGCACGGGGTAATTAATACATGAAACAAACTGCCGCAGGAGGTAGTGGCGTCAAAAACCATTGCCGAGTTCAAGCTGAAGCTTGACGCTTCCTGGGTATCAGCGTGCCCCGATTGTATTTGACACCGGGCCTGAGGTCGCTAGAAGCTCGGGTCCCCCACTTTTAACTCTTAACTCTTTTTCTCTTACTACACTTTGTTCTCTCCAACTCCCTCAGCTCCAATTTTCATCCACTGTGCACCACATTTTACTGAAAGTTCTCAACATACAGCACCACCACTTTTAGGACATGCTTCTTCTCACAACATGCCTTTTTGTCTGAGTAGCTCGGAGCGGTTGGTTGCGAGCTGTCGCTTTGATCATGGTAAAACCTCAGACGTGTACTGTCACTCAGAGCAACTGTAGTGGAAAAGATACTACATGTATGAACAATAATGGAATAAACGATACAAGGAACGGACTCACAGAAGGATTGTCCGCTGGTCGATCGATCCTGTTCTTGTGATGTGCTGTTCCGGTCGACGAGGTGTAGAGGAGCTGAAATGGGTGACTGCGACAGTTAACGGACCGCTTGACGATAACTGATAATGCTTGCTTAATTCCTCAGCAACACTCGGAGAACACGTGCGTATTTACGANAATTTTGTATTGTGTATTAGGTACTGCGCATAATAAAACAAGCTGTACAATCAGGTCAGATAAAGTGGATAGAAAAGTAAGACACTACAGTACCTAGTACAAACTGTATACTGGATAAATGTGAGAGTAAAAGCTACTGTTAAAGAAAACGAGCAGGAATGTGTACTCTTCTGCCAAGGC